TTTAGATAAAGTAACTTTTTTGGATACTTTAAAAATAATCCTCTTTTGTTATTTCACTATAATTTGTCTATGTGTGAATATCTTTTTGCTTTTCCTAGTTGATACACGTCAGCTTCCTATAACTGTCGATGCTTGTCTAATTTACCTTTACCCATAGAAGATTTTGCTTTTGCCAGGAGCTGCTAAGGGATTCCAGCCTTGGACCATTTGAGTCTAGTTCCATGTTCTTATATTTCATCTTGAAAGCTCACTGAGCTTCAAGGCAGAAGCCCAGATGGAATGGGTATCTTCCCTATGTGACATTACCATTTGCCGGTCCTTACTGATCAATGCAAAGCCTTTTTTGTTGTTGTTGTTATTCTTTCCTTTTATTTTTTCTGGAATTTTCCTCACCCACGTGATATTGGCTATGCAGCAATCCTATTTTTGTGCACGATCTAGTTGTTATGCCGCAGATAGCTATATATAGTTTGAACCTTAATCTTTATATATGTTATAAATCTTTTCTTGAAGCCTGTTATTTAACTTTACCTTCACGCTGTATAAAGGTTATTTAGTATTTCATAATCTCCATGTGGTTATCTTTATCTGTTACCTAAATAATCATCAAAATTTTCTAGTTTTTGTAACTGGCATATAATAATTGTACATCTCTATGGAGTATAGTGTGTTATTTCAATACATATATGTAATATATAATGATCAAATAAAGGTATTAGCATTTCCATTTGATTTTGTTTGGAAGCTTTGAGCTCCTCTGTTCTTTTTTTAGCATTTTTCTTTTTTTTTTTTTTTTTGGTACCGGGGATTGAACTCGGGTCCTTGCACTTTCAAGGCAGGCCACCGAACCGCTGAGCTAAATCCCCAGCCCCTGAGCTCCTCTATTCTAGTTCTTCATAAAATATAAAATATTATAAACTCTAGTCACTCTACTATGTAATAAACCACTGGAACTTATTACCTCTATATAACTGCTTTGGTACCAAATAGTCAACCTTCTTCTATCCTCCCCTCTCCCCTTCCTAGCATCGTTCTGCTCCCTTCTACTTTGAGATCAACTTTTTAAATTGCCACATATGATTTTGTTTTTCTTTGTCTGGCTTATTTCACTTAACATACTGTCTTCCAGATACATCAGTGTTGTCATAAATGATAAGATTTAATTGTTTTATGGCAGAATAATACTTTATTGCATATCTGTGTGTGTGTGTGTGTGTGTGTGTGTGTGTGTGTGTGTGTGTGTGTGTGGTGTAGGGATTCAACCCAGGATCTTTACACTGATCTACATCTCCAACCCTTTCTAATTTTTATTTTGAGACAGTTACTAAGTTGCCCAGGTGGGATTTGGACTTGTGATCCTTCTGCTTCAGTTGCCTTCAGTGCTGGGATTACAACCATGTGTTATCCTGTCTGTCTCCATTGTGTATCTATACCATGTTTTAAAAATCTGTCCATCTGTGGGTTGATTCTTTATCTTGGCTCTTTGTAAACAGTGCTGCAGGTATCTCTTTTATGTTGATTTTATTTCCTTTGGCTCTATACCTAGTGGATATGTCCTTTATACAGCATATGAATCAGGCCTTTTTTAGTTGGAAATTTTGTGATTAATCATATATTCACAATTTTTTAATCTGTTAATTGTCTCTTTCTCCTTGTGGGATTCCTATTCATGGATGTTGACACTTCTAATTCTGCCTTCCATTTCTTTTCCTTGATTCTAATTTTTGTCATTTGTCTTTTGGTAATTAAATGGATATCCATGTGTTAATTATTTCATCCATTACTTTTTTTTTTTTGGTACTGGGGATCGAACTTGGGCAGGCAGCAGAACCATTGAGCTAAATCCCCGGCCCTCATCCATTACATTTTGATATCTGTAGTTTTGGTCAGTTCTTAGAATTACTTGTTCTTTATATTAGCCAGTATTCATTCTTTCTCTTTGAAGTATTTAAAAATACTAAATATGTAATCTTTTAGTATTTGTTAATTTTGTTTTATGTGATAGAGGTTGTTGAGTTTGTTATCTTTATTTTACTTGAGTTGATGAGACTATCATTTCTTTTCCCTGTCAACCCGTATTCCTTTAGAGATGTTATGTACTTTGGTCAGTAATATATGTGGAAGTAGGGGCAATTTAAGTTCCTCCTGGTGGATAGGACAGGGACAGTGCTGCTGATGTTACAGACTAGGGCACAGGCATCTGACAGATACTTCTTCCCAACCAGCTAACTCCACCTTTGTTAGATTATCTCTGTTCCTGTACTCTTGGCTGTCTTTACTGTCACCATCCCAGGTAGTGGAAGGTTGGAGTGAGGAGAGTGCTTGTCATTCTCAGCTTCATTGCTTAGTTCTCTCTCTCTCTTTCTCTGGCCAGTTCTCTCTTTTTCTTTACCTATCGGAGTGATGGGGGTAGATAATGATTCACCTAGGAAAATTCAGGACATTCAGATGATTTTTGTATATTTTCTTAACCATGTGACAAGTATGTACACTGAGATTTCAGTGTGCTTTGCCTGGTGTTTAGCTGTGGTTTGTGTTGGCTGCTTATCAGGGGTGGCTGTATGTAGCATTGGAGAGGAGGCTGATGGTTTTGAATTTGGGATTGAATATACTTGAGTATGTATTACTTTTAAGATTAGCTGTAGTCTATTTGAACTGTAAATCTAAACAAATGTAGAACTTCCAAATGACTTCTATAGAATATGATCTGCTGTAAGCTGTAAAGTAGCACTGGGAAGCTTGTCATATAGAATAGGGCTTTGTACATAATGCATATTCTATACATATTTGCTCTTATAGCTTAAATATTTTCTTTTTTTTTTTTTTGGTTCCGGGGATCGAATTTGGGTCCTTGTGCTTGCGAGGCAGGCACCGGAACCACTGAGCTAAATCCCTGGCCCTTATTAAATGTATTTTCCTTTAGTACATATTATACAGAGTGGGTTTCATTGTAACATTCTCATACATGTATATAAAATATTTTGATCATATCCACCCCATCATTAGCCTCCAGTACCTGCTCCTCACTCCCCCCAATAGTCTCCTTTTTACTTTCTTTTTTGGACTCCACATATGAGAGAAACGTGCAGTACTTGTCTGAGTCTGACATATTTTGCTTAACATGATGATCTCTAATTCTGTCCATTTTCCTGCAAATGACATGATTTCATTCTTTGTAGCCGAAAAATACTCCATTGTATATATACATCACATTTTCTTTATCCATTCATCCGTTGATAAACACATAGGCCAGTGGTAGCGAACCTACAGCACATAGTGGGCTGTGTGTATCACTGAAAACTTTATAACATTCACCATCGCTGACCTAGGCCAATTTATAACGACTGTTGTAAACAGTGCCATGAGAGGCATAGGTGTGTAGATGCCGATAGTATGCTGACTTTGATTTCTTGAGATTTATATCCATGAATGATATATAGTAGTTTTATTTTTAGATTTTTTTGAGGAACCTCCATACTGATTTCCATAGTGGTTGTACTAGTTTACATTCCCACCAACAGTGTGGAAGGTTTCCTTTTCCCCTGCATACTCAGCAACATCTGTTATGTTTTGTATATTATAGCCATTCTGACTGGGGTATGATGGAATCTTGGTGTTTTTTTGGTTTTTGTTGTTGTTGTTGTTGTTGTTTTTGAGACAGGGTCTCACTATGTAGTTGAGACTGACCTGGAACTCACTATGTAGCTCAGGCTGGTCTTGAACTCACAGCAATCCTCCTGCCTCAGCCTCCCGAGAGCTGAGATTACAGGCGTGCACCACCATGCCCGGCTCTCAGCGTATTTTTTATTGCAGTGTATTTTTGACTAAAAATGTTGATTATTTTTTCATATAAATATTGGTCATTTGTACTTATTTGTGGAAATGTCTTTTCAGTTAATTTGCCCATTAGATCACTTGGTCACTGGTGATAATTTTTTTTGTTTTGTGTGTATGTGTGACATGCATGTGTGTGCAGTACAAGGGATTGAACATAGGGTCTATGCACTAGGCTGCACCTCAGCTGTTTTTTTTTTCTTTTAATTTGAGAGAGGATCTCACTGAGTTGCCTAGACTTGAACTTGGAATTCTCCTGCCTCAGCCTCCCCAAGTGCTAGGATTACAGATGTACATACCTGTCTGTGCGCTTTCTATATTCTGGATATTAATCCTCTATCAGAAGAGTAGCTGGCAAAGATTTTCTCCCATTTTGTGGGTTGTTTGCTTTATTGTGCCGATACTTTAATTTGATAGAGTCCCATTAGTTGGTTCTTGGTATTATTTCCTCTGATATTAGAGTTCCTTTCAGGAAGTCTTTGCCTATGTCTATGACTTCAGGTGTTTCTCCTGTGTTTTCTTTTAGAATTTTCAAAGTGTCAGGTTTATACCTAGGTCTTTAATCCATTCCGAGTTGATTTTTTGTACGGGGTGAGAGAGTGAGGGATCTAGTTTCAGTCTTTCACTTGTGGATATCCAGTTTTCCCAGCACCACTTGTTAAAGATTGTTTTTTTCCTCCAATATATGAAATGGCTTTAGATGCAGGGGTTTGTTTCTGTGTGTTTTCTGTCCTATTCCATTTGTCTACATATCCTGTTTTAGTGTCAGTACTGCCTTGTTTTTGTTACTATGGATTCATAGTATAAATTGAAATCAGGTGTTGTGATGCTTTCACTGTTGCTATTTTTGATATGGATTGCTTTGGCTTTTTGAGATCTTTTGTGCTTGCATATGAATTTTAAGATTTTTTTCTGGTTCTGTGAAGAATTTCATTAATATTTGATGGGGATTTTAAATACTGTTATTTTACAAATATTTGTGTCATATCTAAAATATCATAAATATTTAAGAAAGTAAATTTTGTGAATTTTTGTATGAAATAAGATATTTTTTATTTGTAAATAGTTGTAAAGAGACTGTATCGCTAGAAAATGCAAAACTAGTAAGAGTTTGTCCTGGTATTTTTGCCCGCAGAATACTAAGTGGACCTTTTTCTTGTTCACAGACTAAAAGGTCAGATTCCTGAAATTAAGCAGACTTTGGAAATTCTAAAATACATGCAGAATAAAAAAGTAAGTGCATTTTTGTTTATAAATTTGAGCAAACCAGGATACTTTGGCAGACTTGTCTTCCTTGACTCACTGATTACTGGTATCTGATCTGTGCTATATGAACCAGTCTGACTTCTTGAAATATGCACTAATGTTACAAAGTGCTTCTGTGAAAGATGAGGCTTTGTGGCCTTTCCCTAAAAGTTGTGTTTAATTGTTTTATTTATATGTAGTATTTGTAAAGTTTAAATGCAATTAGAAATTGTTTTAGGTACTTATTTTGAAGTAACAAGCATCTAAGGATTTCTGTTGATTGATATCCTCCTCAAGAAATAGGAGGGAGTCTTAAGATTTATAGAGCTGGAAAAAAATGTTAGGGATAGTCTTGTTTCAGGTTCTCATTTTATAGTTGAGTAAATAATTACAGGGAGATTAACACTTGACCAGTATCACTCAGCTAGTTAAATTTCATAAGCATATTATTATTTTCAAAAGATTGTGTACACACATGATTTATTACTTGAATGATAGAATACCTACATTTCTAGTACATTATTATGTGTGGTGAATTTTGTAACAGGATTTCAGAAATCGATTGTTTGGGAATGAATTGCCAATAAAGTAATGATGATAGCTAATTTTTTTTTGTACTGGGGATCGAACTCAGGACTTTGGGTAATAGCTAATTCTTATATAGCACTTACATAATTTACATGTAGTACTTTGTGAGCTAGACACTGTGTATGTTAATGAACTCAGTACTTCCCTATGTCTTGGTTGATACATGGACCGTTATCATCTTTATTTTATAGATGAGGAACCTGAGACATGGAGGGATTAAATGAGCTGCCAGATTTATATTCCCAGCTATCTGATGATAGTGCTCATTTCTTTTCCAGCTACACTTAGTCTGCATGATGGTACTGTTCTAAATATGTTAGGTTCAGCTGTGGAATCTGTCCTTTTATAATCTTGTTATCAAATTGGACTGTTTCTGGTACTGTCATTTTCTTAAAGGAGGCCACCAATTCACTGGAAACCAGATTCTTACTGGCAGATAACCTGTACTGCAAAGCTTCGGTTCCTCCTACTGATAAAGTGTGTTTATGGTTGGGGGTAAGTAAATGTTACTTGGCATTAAGTGATATGTTTATAAACCAATGTGTTTTGCCCAGAAAAACAGTATTGCTTGAGCTGTCTAAAGTATTGATCTTCCTTTCACTGTAGAAGAAATGAGAGGACAGAATTCCAGTAATCTCTATGAAAAACTGACTAGAAGTGTGGTGATGATAGCAGCAAAAACATGCTGAAGTCTCTCCTAATCAAGACCAAACTGACCAAACCCTACTTCTCTGGCTAATGTTTTGTCTCTGTTAAATATAATAGAAATGAGAGCAGTAGAAGTAAAATGGAAAGTACTATTGAACTTCCAATAAATGTTTTTTCTATGACAGAGTGTAATATTTCTAGAAAGAGCCCTCTGAATTTAAAGAGAAAAGATTATTATGAAAACCTTGAGGTTAGTATCCATTTAAAAAATACATTTTAATTTAAGATCTTTTCATAGACCTTATCTATGATTTTTCCCTTTTGCTTCTTTCAGTCCCCTGGTTGTGTCCAGCTAGCTCTCTGCTGGTCTTATTACCTCCAGTAAATCCCCATGTGCAGCAGCAAGCCACACTCTACCCTTGCTATTGTCTTGTGAGATTGCCCCTAAGAAGTACTCTAGTGCTATAACACATGAGCTCATTGCATGGGGAAAATCACTTCTCTTTTCCTTAGTTCATCCTCCTGATTTTGTTCCTTGTAATATTTTCAGTTTGTATAAAATTTACATTTTATCCTACAACCTAATTCCCATACTTAGTTGGTCTTAGTTCCATATTTAAAAAGAAGGATGGTATTGTTGAGGTTTATTTTAGTCCCTTGAAGCATAGAAACTACACCTAAATATGTGTTGAGTGACCATTATTATTATTTTTTTTTAGAAATTGCGTGACCTTTTGGTTCACAAAATAAAGTGTTAATTAATTTTTGTGGTTCTGGGGGTTGAACCCAGGTCCTGTGCACTGAGTTATATCTGCAGTGCTTTCTTTATTTTTAATTTAATTTAATTTATTTATTTTGGTACTGGGGATAGAACTCTGGTCCTTGCACTTGCAAGGCAGGTGGCGGCACCACTGAGCTAAATCCCTGGCCCTTTTTATTTTTTAATTTTGAGACAGGACCTTGCTAAGTTAGTAAGTCGTACAGGCTAGACACTATCTTGTGATCCCCCAGCCTTAGCTTCTCAGAATGCTGGGATTACAGGCATGTGCCCCTACTCCCCGCCTAGGAAAGATGATGATAATGAGGAGGAGGAGGAGGAGGAGTATGTGTATAGAATGTGATTTTGCTCCCATTTCTTCTGTTAATATTTTTGGGAATAATTAACATATGTATGTTTGATCTTCTTTGTTTCAGTATCTATGGTCTTCTCTGTTTATAGATATTAGACCTTTTCCATTTTCTGTGATTTCCTGTGGCCTCTTCTATATGAGCTTGTCTTTTCTTTTGGAGTTATTCTTTCTCATTTTTTCTACTCTTTCATAACTATTTTTCCTCTTTTTAAAATTTTCCATGCTGAGTTCTTATAGTTCTTTTCATCTTTTGTTTTATTTTATACTTCTTAGTTGAATATTTGAATCCAGATTTCCTTGATAGACCAGCACCTGCCACAATCTTTCCCATTTTAGTAAGTGATAGAACCTTTTGACTTGTTTCTAAGATGAGAAAAACCTTGGAGTCAATCTTTGACCCTTCTTTCTTACATCTCTCAACTAGTCCTTTAGTAAACCTTATTGGTTCTTTCACCACTGAAGCCAACTACTTCTTGCCTTTCTGCTGCTATTACTCTGCTACAGGCCATTCTTATGGCCAAAACTGGAAATAATGTTGGTATTAGTTTGCTAGGGCTGCCATGATAAAGTAGTCAGATCTTGGTACTCACCTGCTTTTAAAAAACGTATTACTAAATTTTGTGATAAATGGTGAATCCATTCATCATGGGGAATTGGTATATATCACATCTTGATCCTTTTTTACTTCCCCTTCTGCTCACTGCTTTTCAATCTACCCTCATTCCTTCCCCTTCCATCAACTGCTTTGAAACTCATTGAATTTGGTATTTGACACATTTTGTTGAGAAAACTTGTCCTGTTACTCATTGTTTAATCAGTACTCCACGAGCAAAGTAGAATTTTTTGGGTGCCGATTGCCTCATGACTTGCTACCAAACCAAAGTAATTTGTTTGGTACTCATTGTGCCTTCCAGAACCAATTAACTTCCAGTACCAACCAAAGTAGCGCACTGTATGACAAACTAGATGACTTTTTTTTTAGTTTTAAAAATATAGTAATCTGTATTTTTTCAAAAGTGATATGTGCATCACAGGAAATGAAAGAACAAGAAGCAAAGAATGAAGTCATTCGCAGTCATAAGCAGCTTAGCTGGATGTGTTGTTCTAGGTTCCATGTGTACATACACGACATGCCATTTTGTGTGACTGAATTCGTATACTATGTGTCATGCTTTTCCACACATCATGAATATTCACCAATTTAAAATCCCACAGCTACAAGAATATTTTTTATAACTAAGAACAGATTATACCAACTCAATCTGTTAGAGAAAAAATTTTAATACTGCCTTTCGTGGGAACAAAAATTTCACTGAAGATGAAATTGGCAGCAGTCCTCTGTAGACAGAAGGTATTGGCAAAGTTACAATTACAAAACTGTATTTAGATGGCTTGAAAAACAGAAATTGATTGTCTTGTGGTTTTGGAGGCCAGAAGTATGAGATCAACCCTGGGATCAGTGTTAGTTCTTCTGAGGGCTGTGAGGCAAAATTTGCTCCAATCCTTTCACTTAGCCTCTAGTGTTTGCTAACAGTCTTTGGCATTTTTTGATGTATAGATGTTTCACTGATCTCTGCCTTCATCTTAACATACATGACATATATGTCAAAATTTTCCCTTTTTATAAGGGTACCATCTGCACTGGATTATAGCCCACACTTACAATCTCAATTAACTTAGTTACCTTTGTAATGACTATCTCTAAATAAGCCCACATTTGGAGATACTCAGGGTGAAAACTTCAACACATTTTTGGTGAGGAGACGTAGTTTAATCCATACTACTTTATTCAGCATAAGCTTGCACTCACATGTACCTGGGGTTAGGGCTTCAATGTATCTTTTGGGGAAATTAGTTCAGCTCATCATAGAACATCCTAAATTCTCTTTCTTGATTCTGCCTTTGCTTTCCTAAAGCCTTTCCAGCACAGCAGGCATGGCGATACATTAAAATCTGCCTATTCATCTGTCCAAAATTTTCTAGTGATCTCTCATTTTGTCCCAGGGAAAACCTCAAATTCTTTATCTGACAAGCTGCTACACAACCTGTTATTCTCTGATACTTACCTTACTACTGCCTTGTTGGCCACACAAGAAGGATTTCTTACGGGGCCTAGGTCATGCTGAGAATGGCTCTGCTTGAGAGCCTTTATTCTGGCTCTTTCCCTTGCTTGAACTGCTAGAGTAACATTTTTAAAACATGTCAGATCGTGTCACTTCTCTGCTCAGGACACCAGTAATTTCCCCTGTCACAGCCTCACGTCACTTTCTCATTGGTACCACCTGACTTTTCATTTAGAATCACAGGTAGCTTTTCTTGTGAGTGGGCATGGAGTTTGCCACCTTAGTTTTGTTGGCTTCTTAATTAATTCTATATTATAATATTTCAAAGTTGTGAGTTGGCAAACCTGAACTACATAGCAAGACTGTCTCAAAATAAAATAAAAAGTAAATCTTTTTATTGATAGCCTCACCCACATTTTTAGAGTTTTGCTAGTTTTGTAGGTTTAAATAACATCTTACTGTTTTTGTTTGACAAGGAGCTTATTTGTATTTCTTTTCTGCTTAATGTCCATGGTCCATTTTTCTGTTGGATTTTTTTTGTTTGTTAGTCTTATTTATATATTATGTATTTATATGCAGAGTCTTCTGTTACTTGCTGCAAATATTTTTTCTGATCTGTTACTTGTCTTTTATTTATGGTACTTCTTACAGAGAAGTTTTAAGTCTTAATGTAATCAGTTTACCAGATAAGTACAATTTTATTTTAGCAGTGCACTCCTGTTACTAAATTTATTAGCATTCTTTTGTTTCTAATATTTTGAAACTTAGTAGTTAAAATTTAAAAATTGTTCTATGAAAACAAATTTTAAAACTTGTTAAGGATAACATGAAAAAACAAGCTTCTCTATAGAATAATGGACAAGTAACTCCTAAAAAGAGATACCTAAGAGGCAATAAACATGAAAAGTTGTTCAGCTTTGTTAGTAAACAGGCAGATGCAATTAAGAGGACAGTACAGTTGCCCTTTGCACCCACCAGAATGGCAAGACAATATAGATTGAGCATCCCTAATCCAAAATCTAAAATTCCTTTTGTTTTTTGTTTTTTTTTTCTGATACTAAGGATTGAACCCAGAGCCTAGTACATACTAGGCAAGTATTCTTCCACTGAACTGTATCTCCAGCTCATTTATTTATTTATTTATTTGCTTACTTATTTAGAGACAGGGTCTTGCTGTGTGGTAAAGGCTCACTCTGAATGCAGTTTGTAACTCCAGCTAGCCTCAAACTTGTGATCTTTCTACATCAGCATCCCAAGAATGCTGTGATTACAGGTGTGTACCCTGATATCTGGCTCAAAAATCTGAAATTCTAAATGTCTCAAAATCCACAACTTTTTTAAACATCGTGTCAGCACTCAAGATGTTTTAAATTTTGAAGCACAAAATTGAGAGTCTTAAAACAAGACCCTTTTATTCATCTCTTTTACCAGATCTTTATATCAGAAGTCCAAATGGAACTGGTTCAGGGTTTCACATGGCCAGAATTAATGTGCGAACAGAGATGTGGTCACTGTTGGAAGCTCGGAGGGAAACTCACTTGCAGCCTCATTCATGTTGGCAAATTCCACTTCTGCATGGTTATATGACTGAGGTCCTTGCTGTCTTCTAGAGACCATCTGTATTCTTTGGCTTGTAAACCTTTCTGTCTTCAAA